TAGATACGACCTGTGGGATCACTACTGCATATGGTCTATTGTTGACCAGAACCCTGTTGTACAGTGTATAGCCAGTACACTTTTGGTTTCAAAACTGAGGCACTCACCTCCCTTGTCCACTGCCCCAGCTCAACTCTCATGACTACAATTAGGGTCACAAGAGCACACCAGCAATAGCTTCTATGTTCTTCTGAGTTTACTTTATCTAAGGAAAGACACCTATATACAGTCTACCACAGTGGGTCATCTCAGCCTGTTTAGCTTTTTACGGTTATTCTTATGGATCTACTTTTCTTGCTTATAAAAAAATCCCAGCACTTGGGAGGCAGAGGCAGGCAGATCTCTATGATTTCAAGGCCATTCTGGTCTACAGAGTGAGTTCCACGGATATGTAGAGAGACCCTGTGTCAAAATAATAATAATAAAAGGCTTTTGGGATGTGGTTAGTGTTAGATTGAGAAAAAGACTCTTCCAATATCAAAGTCCTAAGAGAAAACTGGAAGTAACATCTGTGACCTTAAGAGGGGAAAGAAGGCTTCATAATGACCTAACAGCCAAGTTCCATTGTCCACATTGTGAAGAACCAGTGTCTAACAATAAGTGTCCAGCTCGGACGGGGAAATAGATTGAGTCACCACTCCCATTATTCCCTAGGTCTTCAGGAAGCCTCGGTAGACACCTGAGGCAAAGGGTCCTTCTGATCTCTGGGAAAGCTCCGCCTGTGAATTTTAAGGGTTTGGGGCACACCCATGCCTGGTCTACCTACCTCAGGGCAGACATCTTCCTCTTTCTGCATGACTGAAAGCAAGGCAAAGTGGAGGACGAAAAGGAGACCGGCTGAGACAAGCTGCTCTACCAGAACTTTGACAGCAGGACAGCTGTAGTTCCAGTCTTGCCAGCTCTTTTCCACACAATCGCTCTTATTGGAAGGGACTTCAGAACTCTGTGCTCCAAAACAAGTTGTTTTCCTGAAGCGTCTTCTTTTTCTATGTGCTTCCGTCTCCTGTAAACAGCACTCACGTGGTCTAAGGAGAACCCACAACTGCAGCCCGGGGTTGGGGTGGGGGGCGGGGAGTTGAGCAGAACAGTTAGGGATCAAGCAGCCTCGTGGGGACGGCCGATTGAGGTTGTGGGGTGGAGTTAGGGGAGGAGACCAGAAGTCTAACTTGGCTGATAGACCGGGAGGTGGGACAGCTAAGAAAGTAGCTCAAGAGCGAAGCAGAACAACAGGGAAAAAGGAGGCAGGCGATGGGGAAGTGTGACCGGCTAGAGGGTGGGCCTCACCAGGGCAGGGTGATGTAGGCAAGCGGCATGGAGGTCTCACAACTCAGGAAAGATCCCAGCCCAGAAGGGGTCTCGATCAGGAGTGAAGGAAGGGGTGATTATAGCCGAGGAGTAACCTCCCGAAGAGAGCCGTGACAGCAAGGGAGAGGGACCAGAGGCCGGGGTATTAAAGGAGAGGGGAGAAGAGGGACCCAGCCACAGCGGGGAGAGTGTGGACGACATCACAGGCACGATGCGTGTGGTGGGACCAAAGATGATTAACTAGAAGACCACTAGGACCCACGTACACTTGGCCACGCGCCAGACCGTGGGGGTCTACGCCGGCCACTGGCCGGTCCTCGATAGCGCGACAGTCCGGGAAACCGCGGGTCGGAAGTGACTCGGAGGATCCGCAAGTCCCTACTTCCAACACCTAGGGCAGCACAGATGACGCTCGCTCGCACCAGTCCCGCGGCCGGCCTTCGGCGCAGCGTTTGTGAACCTTGTGTCGTGGGGCTGACGAGAGCTAAGAGCGACGGCTAGACAGGCTAGAGCTCGACTGCCACCACCCGGCTGGCTCACGGCGAGAGAGCAGGGCGGGGCGCGATCCATCCACATCCGGCTCTGCGCGACTGCGCCGATTGGTTTAGCTCCCTGGACCGCACGCCCTCCGCTCTGCTGACGCTGGGCATTGGGCGCCTTGGTGACCAGTCGGCGAGGCTCTTGCTACAGAGTGTCTGACCCCGCCTACGATCGGAAACGCAGTGAGGACCTTGCTGTGCCTGTGAAGGAGTTGTCTGGCGGTGTTTTAAACAGCTCAGGCTGGGGAAACCGTGGCCGTCAGCCCAGGTCGGTTTGAGGGTTTCCAGTTGGCGCCGCCTGCACGGGGTTCTTCGGGGTCCCGAATCTTTCCGGGCCAAGGGTAGTCTCTAGAAGGATCTTGGGCCCTCTGCGCCTGTGGCTTCTCGGGTCATTGGCTCCCACAGGTCCCACAGTCATCTTTGCTCCTGGGCTGTCGGATTGTGAGTAAGTTCCTTAGGCTTTGGTTGACTCCTTCTGCTGCCTTGTTCTTTCAGAGCTGATTTATCCTGAGCCCGGCATGGGTTTCCTGACTGCCGTGACTCAAGGCCTGGTGCGGGGAGCGGACAGGATGAGCAAGTGGACAAGCAAGCGGGGACCACGCACCTTCACTAAGAGTCGGGGTGCCAAGAAAACAGGCATCTATACTTCTGATAGGAAGTTTGTGCAAATAAAAGAAATGGTCCCAGAATTTGTCGTCCCGAACTTGACCGGCTTCAAGCTCAAGCCCTACGTTAATTACCGAGCCCCTGCAGGCATAGACACACCTCTGACCGCCAAAGCGCTCTTCCTGGAAACAGCTGCACCCGCTATCGAAAAAGACTTTAAAGAAGGGACTTTTGATGCTGACAACCTGGAGAAATATGGCTTCGAGCCCACACAGGAAGGGAAGCTGTTCCAATTGTATCCTAAGAATTTCCCACGCTAGAAGACTGTAATAGTGACCAAAGGTTTGTCTACAAATTGGAGACAATACTGACCAAGCCTTGGATTCTGAGTATCTCATAGAACAGCTTCCTTGTGCATTTCTATTAAATGCCTTTAGTATCTCGTACAATATGTGTTTTGAATCAAGTCATTGAAGTGTGCTGCAGGGCAGACTCCATGCAGTAGCTACGGAGTTCATAACAAATCCCAACCAAGTCAGGTCTGGGGGCACACTTCTCTGGCTCCAAGGTGAGGGGAGTTCCTGTTGAGTGAAAGTAACCATCCCCAAGGAAAACCCTGAGATGGAAGTCACAGAGCAGTTAGAATAGGAAGGAGACAACAGGATCTCTGGGGCTTGCTGCCCAGTCAAGTGCAGACTAGTCAGCTAACCTCAAATCCTAGCAAGAGACCGTGGCTCAAAAAAGACAAGGCCATCTTGCATGGCAACCAAGATTGGCCCCTAACTGCCACACTCATGCATATGTATATATACAAGCAAACAAGGTAGTATTGGCCACTTAGGAGACTAAGAAGGAGTTACAAGTTTCAGTCCAGCCTGGGCTATATAGTAAGTACTGCCCCACCCCCGTTTTTTGGAGACGAGTCTTGATGTAAGACCACCGGGGCTGCCCTCAGCCTGACAGAGATCTGTCTTCATGTGCTTCTTGAGTGCTGGGATTAAAGGAATGCATCACCACAGCCTGTCTTAAAAGGCATAAAGGC